ATCATGTTAAATGTACAAAGCAAACAAACCCTTAGGAGAAATAATGTTTGGTGAAAGTTGTTAAACATTCCCCAAACTGCCCAGTCTATGGTTTTCTATCCCCTCCCAGGGCCTGGCCTGGTGCAACGATTCCGACCAGACTTCAAGCGCAAATTTGCAGACTTCTTTGAAGATGATACTATATCGGAGTACATCTACCACTGCAATGCACAGAATCCCAGGTGAGGGCAGTTCCCAGAGTCAGATCGAGGTAGACAGGTTTGGAGATAAAACTCCAGCTGCTGGAAAACTCCAGAACTGTCCCAGGATCGTTCTGTGCTGTATTTCTTCTTCCACAAACCTTTCATTCACTTAGGGAAAAGGGAAACAGAGGCATTAGCAGCCTTGATCATTTCCAGAGGCTTCCCCAGGGATAGGCACAAAGGGATGGAGAAGATAATAGAGTAATTAAAATTGCTGCTGTCTCTAGAGGAGGACACTTACTCCTCCCTGGAGATAGGCAGTTAGCCTGACAGGCAAGAGTCCGGAAAGCTTTTGAAAAGATCTTTTTTTTTTTTAATACTAAAAATGTGATATAGACATGGTATTTTTATAAAGGCAAAAAAAAAAGGAAGGAAAAAAGTCTTCTGTCCCATATCTCAAATGTCCTTGTTATTTGCAATCTGAGATATCACATGATGTCGCTTCAGAGAGGCTCCTAACACATCTTGCTTTGCACACACGCAACTATAGAATATACTTCTGCAAATTGAATTGCCGATTGAGAGAGTATGCATTTTAAAATTTAACTATGTGCACCTAGAAATACTTATTATTGGGATAGGCATTCCTTCCAAATCTTTTGGAGATTTCAGGGTATTCCCAGAATACTGAGAAGCTCATACGTATGACTACTCACACAACAGGCCCCACAAAGCCTGCTGATCTGAAGTCTTGGCAGCTGACAGGCAGGGCAGAGGCAGGGAGGTAATCTTCCCCTCAGGCCGTGCTGTGTGAGTGGCTGATACCAGGAGGCTGCACTGGTGGCACCATGGGTGGCACCTCCTCTGTGGTGGCCTCACCCCAAGCTATTGGGAGGCATCTCAGGAGCCAAGGTCCCTGAATGCAGCAATACTGCCCCACCTCATTCCAGCCCTATCTGGGTCACCCGTTGTGAGCCAACACTGTGAAGAAGAGGGAGACTTGCATTCCAGCAGTACTGTCTGAGCATTAGCCTCAAACCCAGATAGCTTTCAGGCAGCGTGGGAACTGCCTATCCATCCAACATTCCTCATGAGCTCAGCTAATTGAAGGGCCCTGTTTAGGCAGCACTGTAGAAACTCAGCTCAACAATCAGCTAGCCCCCTGTTTCCAGCTCTCGACCCCCCTTTCAGCCCCCACTGGGCTAGGTGCCAGTCGCTTGAGGCCCCACAGGCCTACCCCTAGCCTTTGCCTCGGAACATATCCCAGTCCCAGACCTAGCTCTGTTTAATGAATGGCCTCTCAGTCTAAGCCACAGAATATGTAATCACGGACTCATTCCTGTTCTGGAGGAAGCGGTGATGACATCAGTGATAACCAGTCACCATCATTCAATTTTATGACCCCCTGAGGGTTTTTGAACTGTAACCCTGACAAGTTCAAGGCAACTTACCATTCCCTTGGGAAACGTGAAATTTGGCCAAGGTTGGGCAAGGAGACGTTCGTTTCACCTAAATGTGGGGGCTTTGTACATATTTTCATTTTCCTCACAGTGACCTAATAAGGTGGTATAAATTCTCTCCCATTTGTAGATGAGAAAATTAAGGTGTTTTCTGGTTGCATGACTTGCTAAGAGAGTATAGCCAGGATTTGAAGTCATGTCTCTGACTCCAGAGTCCCTGATTTTCCCAGTACGCTGCAATGTCTTAAGGAAGAACTGTTTCTGGTGGCCTGTGTGGAACTTAGGCTCCCTTCATCCCACGGGTGGGAAGGAGACCAGGGATAAATAACCCGAACAGGCTGAACCTGATAGGAGGCAGTCCCTCCTCTGCCTCACACAAAAGCTACAGACCAGCCCAGAAAGCAGCTTCAGTCCCAGCCTTGCAGACCCCTCATAATAATGGTTCCGTTAGCTCTACCTAAGGAAATGACCAGAAAGCACCGTCGATTCGATTGGCAGTCATTCATTGCTTCTCACATAGCGAAAACTGCTGCTCTCCCAGGTCCTCACAAAACTGACGTTTCATCTCAGAGTCTCCTCAGGAAACACTTTGTCCTGCTGTAGTACTCGCTCTTCGGCATCCACGTCAGATGAACTCCTTGACCTTCTCCCTCCACCTCCAGCAGGCTAAGTCCCTCGTCTGTGTCTTCATGACACCCAGCAACCTTTCATAATTCTTGGGAAATTCTTGGGAAATTTGAAGTTAAATAATTAATCATGTAATTCGTTGCTTCATGACTCAAGTGTGAGCTCCAGGAGGGCAGGTCCCACATCTGTCTTATTCGTATGTCCCCTCACTCCACTCAGGGCATGACATATAAATATTTGTTAAATAATATTAACCCATTGCTTCTTTGGATAATTCTCAGTGCCTTGGGGGTTTCTATAAGTGTGTCCCTCTAACTCGGTTCTGTGATAGGAGGCGTCTGGAGATCAGTCCTGTCTCCTAATCTTATCAGTATTTAATGAGTCTCAAACCCAGCGTCTGAGAGGAATACCAAGATGATAAAGATACTGCCCCAGCCTCTGAAGAGACCGATAGGTCTCTCTCTCTCTCTCTTTTTTTTTTTTTTTTTTTTTTATGCTGCAGGGTTTATTCTACTAATCGTCTCACACTGTTTTGCTTCTTAGTGGTGAGACAGCCTTCAAAGCCATGATGGAGTCCTTCGGCTGGGCCCGGCGCCCCATGTTAGAGCGAATTCACTTGATTAGAAAAGACGTGCCCATCACCATGATCTATGGGGCCAACACCTGGATAGATACCAGCACGGGAGAAAAGGTGAAGCTGCAGAGGCCAGATTCCTATGTCCGAGACATGGTACGTTGGCCGCCCAAGGAGCAGGGTTGAAGTGAAAAGGCTGTGCATCGAATGCCAGCACATGCTGCTTCACTCTCAGCATGGACGAGCACTGGGAGTAGAGAAGGTGAAGGAAGAATCAGTGGAGGAAAGAGGGATGGACAGATTGAGATGGGGCAATGGATTTGAAAGGGTTGGCTCTCTGCCATTTCATAATTAGGGGCCTCTCACTTCTGTGTAGCCCGATTCAGCAAAAAGGCAGGTTCTGGTCCGGTAGCCAGGCACGGACATCATGCCGCCACTCTAGCCCCGCTGTAATTCCCACTCAAACCCAGAGCTGTGAACAGTGGAGTGAGTAGTAGAGGCTGCCATGACACCTCCCCAACACACTCTTACCTTCCCATTTTTCTTACCCGCCTTCACCCTTGTTTGCTAAGGAGTGTGCTTAATTAGGCTGGGTGCCTAGTGGGCCCTAGTTTACAGGACCGGTGGGTGAAATGAGTAGATCGGTCGGTGGTGGGGCTAGCATGGAAGGCAAGATACAGTGAACGGCCACGGGAGAAGGAGAATGGGATACCTAGAGTCGTTGGCTCCCGCAGGAAAGTGCCAAGGTCCAGGGAGAAAAGCGGACCATTGTTTCTGATTAGTGCACATGGGTGATGGGCAAGCAGGTCTCAAGGAAAAGAAATGATGTAATAGCTTTCCAGTGCCCAGAGTAAAGGGCTGTCCTACCCTGGCGGGTTCCTCTCTCCACAGGAGATCGAGGGTGCTTCACACCACGTCTATGCAGATCAGCCACACATCTTCAATGCTATGGTGGAAGAGATCTGTGACTCGGTTGATTGAGCTACTCTCCTTAGAGGAAGAGGAGAAAGCCGGAGAGTCGCTCTCACCTCCCTGTCTGCTTACTCACCCTTCTGTCCTTTCCTCACCAACTAACGTGCCAGCCAGGCAGAGTCTTGGGCTATCCTCACAGCAGGAACACAGTAAAGAGCACTCCTGACCCCATACAAAAGGCTGGAGGCAGAAGCCACAAGAGGCCTTGAGCTCCCCACCTCGAGGAAGAACATAAAGGGTTGCTTAGTGACACCCCATTCTCTCCACGCCAAGTGTTACCCAGATAGTGGTTATAGAGGGCCTGTACCGAGCCACACTGCACCGAGCAAAAGGGAGGGGGACCTCTCTTCCCCTGGACAAAGGAGAGGCTCCCACAACCTTTCCCAGCTCTGGAATGTCTGTGGTGGAAGTTTCCACACAAGAGCATTGTCCTATTTCATCAGCCCCTGGCCCCCGTCCCATGCCAATATTCAGGGTCTGGTTGGGACCAGTTCCCACTTAACTACCAAGAGCAGGTCCTGGAGTTTCCATGTTCTGCAGAGCCCCTCCCATGACCAGAGTTGTCATATCCAAAGCCCTCATTAACGGATCAGGAACAGGCCAAAGCAGGACATAGCTGGCCCATGGTCATACAGCTCTTTTCCAAGAGAGCTCAGATTAGAACCCAGGTCTGCTGACACCCAGTGCTCATTGCAGACTCCATTTGCTAAGGTTCGAGACAGGCACCATTGCTATGGGGTAACGAGCCAAGGATAAGCCCATCTCTGCCCCACATTCCAGCCCCTTTGCGCAGGGGTGCTGCTGTCCTGCCCTGTGTCTCTGCCCTGGCTGCCTAAGCTGGGTACGTTCAAGTGCTTCCTTCTACGCCCCCTCTTATTCCCAACAGGGAAGCCCCTGGGCCTCCCTCTGTGCCTTGGGCCCTGAAGCCCCACCTCTAGTATAGAGCAAAGATGGCCCCTACTGGAGAGAGCAGGGAAAGGCCCTTCCACCCAGGGCCGTGTCTGGATTCTTGTGCCCGGCAAGGTTTTTATACCTGCCCCCAGAGCTGAGGCCCTCTGGAGCCCCTGCTCATGGTCCAGTTTTCTGTTTTCATCAGCCACAGGACGGTTCTCACTGCCTGGCCCTCCATCCCTGCCATCTGTCACCCTTTCCCAGGGTCTGCTTCCAGGCGCTGCTGTGAAGTTCTGGGCAGTAGGCTGGGCCTGGCCCCAGAACCAGGGCAGTGCCTACCTGCTCCTTCACTTTTGTAAAGCCACCTTTCACCAGAATAATATTAACTCCTGGTGCTTTGTACTACTGGTCCAGCTACCTTGGGCTCCTTTTCTACATTAATAAAGAAATGAGTAAAAGCTGTTGGCAGTGATGCTGTTTCATATTGCTCCGACAAGAGAGCTGGGGTGGTGCTGAACAGCCCCTGTGATGCCTGAGTTAGAGAAGGAGGCCTGAGAGGTACCAGCTTACACGCCTTTCCCTCTTCCCTTTAGCACGGCCCTCACCCTCTAGATCATGATTGGCACAGGCCATCTCAGCCAACCCCTTCAGAGAATAAATCGGGAGTGTGGATGGGCCAAACTCTGATTCACAGAGGAGAAATAGGCAGAGCTGTGTGCTCCCTGCTGCTGAGTAAATCGCCATCTTCCAAAGTTCACCCGACATGAGCCTTCACCCGGACTGTGCCTTACAGCGTGTTCTCCTAACTCCTACTCATTCCCTTAGATAGTCCTTTGCAGGAAGCCTGTCTCTGACCTCCCAGGCGTATTCAACGGCCTCTTTTGTAAAACTCAAACGTGTAGTCACTTGTTTCATATCCATCTTTCATTCCTAGATCATAAGCTACTTAAGGACATGAGGCACATCTGGCACATGCCTAGTTCATGTTCAATAAATGTTTTCATTGAGCCAGAAAAGTGAGATATGCCAAGCATTCAAAAAAATGTTCAAATCATTACCAGTAGTGCCCACTGTGTGCTGGCTGGCTCCAGCTAGGCTCAGAATTCCATAGCTCAAAGTGGCACCTCATGATGAATGAATGGATGATCGAATGATTGGAACTCCTGGCTATAATTACAAAACTCTGATCCATCCCGAGACCCTGTGCTTTCTCTGTGACTGAAGATTGCCTAATTGCCAACTCAGCCGTCTGGAAGAGAGGGCAGGTATTTAGAGCTTATGGCATGCCAAGAACTAAGGCTACAATAGTGAAGAAACTTGGTCCCTGCCTTTACGGGAAATTACATTCTACATGGAGAGGCACACTTCCTCAAATTATTATGTAAATCAATATAAAATTGTAACTGAGAGGTTGAGAAAGCCTTCTTCAGAAGTAATGACAGCTGAGCCTGAAGGAAGTGCAGGTGAAGGGAGGGGAAGGAGTATCTGGAGAGAACATGGTGTGCAAAGGCCTATGAGCAAGAACGATGGCTGTGACAGGAGGCTGGGGAAGTGGATGGGCACACGCCCATGTACTCCCTCCGGCCATGAAAAGGATGTTGTGGTGTTCATCCTAAAATCAATGGAAAAAAATAACGAGTAGTTTCAGGGTGGAGTGGGAAATGTGACAGAATCTGGTTTGAGACGACCACTCTGGAAGCCCTGTGGAGTACAGATGGGAGGGGCTTGAGTCCCTGCAAGGGAACTTTGAAGCGACTACAGTGTTCCAGGCCAAAGATGCTGGAATCTTGGACTTGGCCAGTGGCTAGTGGGCACACAGAAGAGAAAGATGCAAGAAATGTTAAGAAGGTAAAATCCAAAGAACTTGTCAACACTGAACGACACTACCACCCCCCTGGAGAATGGGCCAAGTGAGGCAGTAGTGACCAAACCTGCTCACATAACACAACAACCTAGGGTATTTTTTTTAAATGTAGTTTTTTGGGCTATATTCCCCCAGAATGTGATTCAGTAAATCTAAATGGAGTCTGACCATGACATCTTCATTTAAACACAATTCCTAGGAGATTCTCATGCCCTGCTGTCTGCAAGCACTGGTCTAAGCTACCCTGGGTCTCTGATACTTGACCCAGAAGGCTCACATGGAGAAGTAGGGTCTTTGGCCATGATGGCCTGATTTTCCCAAACCCACCACAGTGCAAACACACTCCTCAGGAGCAGGTGCAAGAAGAGTCTGAGAAAGGTCACCCGGAGTGCTCTGTTTATACAACCAGGTGCGCGCGCGTGCGCGCACACACACACACACACACACACACACACACACTCCATCTGACTGGGCCATTGCTAACATTCCCACAGCTAGGACTAAGAACAATGAACTATGAACACACCACCCAATCAGCACCTTTCCTGATATGTTCTTGTTGCGTCCAGCAAGTGGTAAATCCTGCCACGTCCAGCGCGGCCCTGGAAAATAAACCTGAGTGGGAACGGTGGGAGATGAGAAAAGAAAGAAGACAGAAAGTGGGGATCGGGAGGTCCGCTGCCCACTAATGATGGACAACAGCCCAGTTTGGTTTTTTGCAAGCTGCTTTTATACAGGAACATACGATTGCTGGCTTGTGAAGTTTCATAGCAACATTGTTTCTTCTACTTTCTCCAAGACCACATTTTCTTACGGCCTTCAGCCTATCTAACTACCCGTGGCCTTATTTATACTATCTTGTTCTCAGGAGGAATTTGTGGAGGCGAAGTAACCCTTGGTTGCCTTCGCAGTCTGCAAGGACCTTGTCAGCTTACAAACCGCTCTCCACATGTTCTAAGGATTTACGCAATAAACGGACTCTTCAAAGGACTAGCAGTTTACAGGGAGAGATTCCACAAATAGACATAAAAGACTGATTAACCCAAGACCAGGGAAGACGTTCCCTGTTCAGTGGCTAACAGAAAATGTGTTAAATTTAACTTCCTCCTTGGGATAGACAACAAAATATATGTACTAAAAATTCAGTCTGGTGTCATTGCCCAAAGGATGAGAAAATCTTGACGAATACATCTCTCCACTCTGCTATCTCACCCTGTAAGCCCACAACTACAGGTACCACTCATGACCAGCTAGAACATAATCCAATTGGCTGATAACAAACACCTTGTCCAATGAATGGTGCAAAACATCTCTCTTCTTATAATGTGACCTTTCAATTCATACAAAGTTCTCCTTGGAAAAGATCTGGGCTCTTTCTCTAGAATCCCTCTCTATTCTCCTCTTCCCCAGGGTCCTGGTCTGTCTTGCAGAAGCAAGTGAGACACTTGAGATTTTTGAGGATCAGTCCCAACCCCATCCAAGTGAAATAGCTCAAGACAAGCCATCTTTTCACTTGCTAATATTGACTGTTTTTTATAGCATAAGTTCAGCACTGCTAAGAAAGTCTTTGTCTTTATTCTACTAAGTAACCATTCTTCACTTAGGGTTGAGGAAGAAAAGACAATCGCCACCTGACACTTTTTAGAGAATAACACATTCCTAGACAGAATGCTAAGGGGGTCGTTGATGCTAACAAGTGCACAGAGCCCTCCCTCCAACCCAGGAAAATAAGACCCCCTTCTCTGGTTGATGGCTCCATGAAGTGCTAGAAGGAGCCCTCTGCAAATCCAGCCTTGCTAACAGTTAGGTGCTCCTTCATCAAGTGTGTTCTGAGGTCTGATGTAGAGTTTGTTATAATTCGGCAACCTCGTATTTCATTTGATACATATGAGAACCAATTCCACAACCAGAAAAAACCTGGGATATACTAGTTAGTGACAAGAACTCTGAAGGACTTGGGGTTGTAGGTGATGTTCTTATCTCTTCTGTTTGACTTTGAAAAAGAAAAATTGTGAGGCTGAACACCTGACAACTAATACCGTGCCAGAGAACAGGATTTTGGGGAGGGCTCGTGACATATGACAGAAAATCTATAGGCTTCTGATTAAATTATAACATAACTAACACAAAAAACAGGCATCATATACTTCCTAAATTTTTAAGGAAAAAGTATCCAAATAACACTGCAAAATCACGTAGCAATGATTTTCCTACACGAGTCTGCAGACTGCAGCTGGTCCATGACAAAAGATTTCTGGTCTATGAGGAAATAAATTTTTTCAATATTTTTAAAATCCGACATATGTCTTTTCTAACTTTTTTAGAATTAAACTATTGTTTTTTAATGAAAATATGTTGATATTCAAAGATTCTTTGGGGGTTGGGAGGAAATATTACTTCTTATTGCCAAACATCGATTTCAGGGATTTCTTTCTTGTAATTTTGATTAATTTTAATAAAATCCTAAAGTCTGGGAAGTATTACATTATAGAAAACAAGAATGAGAAAGGAATTTTATCATAAGAAGAGGTGGAACTCATGACTGAGAGGATGACTATGGAAGGATAACATTGTTCAGATGAAGCTGATCTAATTAGTTTCAGCTGTAGTGTGTATGTCAAAAAGGAAATCACAAAACTGAAACTGGAAGTGTATGGATGGAAATGAAAGAAGAAACAAACAGGAAAATAAAACCCGGCAGAAGTATGGAATAGATGTTAAGATAAACAGAGGACATGAGTGATGCTTTTTAAATTCAGATTGCAAAACTGATCTGAGGCAGGATACAGTAATGCCAGAGGACCCAAGCATCAAGACATTGACTCTAAGTCTCCTTCTGCCGGAAGCAGAGCACCTGGTAAATCCCTGCCCTACTGACAAGTTCATTTACTAGAATTTTGAAGAAAGATGGTCAAATAAATTTTATAGATTTCAGGAAGTCAGATTTCAAAATATTCCAAGGAAAATTACCTAAGGGGCTCAAAAGGAACAATAAGCTCTCAAATGTGACATTTTATAGTTTTGTCCCAGAGGAAGGAAGGGGGCTTCACCAACCAGAAAACTACATTGCTTGTCTTCTAATGAGATCAAACTATTGGCAGAGATGAATATCAAGTCTCTTACACTGAAAGACGAACCAAGCAATTAGAGCAAGGACAGTTTGTGTGAAAACATTAAACCAACATGAAGGGTTTAGTGGACTAAAAGCTCAGTATGAAGCGGAAAAGGGGAAAGCTGCCCAAAAAGCTAATGTTAGGTCTCAATCCCTGCGTTGGTAGGAGACGCAGTGGTTCCACTGTTCCCTGGTTGGAGTGGGGGTTCAATTCTGAGAACTTTTTTCCTTTTTTAAGTAAGAAATACATTTTCATTGTAGAAAAATGAGAAAAAACTGTCCATGATATATTACACTATGCAGAAATAACCACATTAAATACTTTTAATGTATATGTGTGGATACATATTCTGAGAATATATAATACATATATACACATACTGGTTATTATATATAAATATATACTTACTAGAATGAAAGCATACTGACAAAGTTCTTTATGAAATTTTTTAAACTTCTTTGTTATAAATCTCTTTCTACATCAACAAATACAGCATTTAATAAATATATTATTATTCTTAATTGTATTCCATTGCTTAGAATTGCCATAATGTATTGATCCAATTTTCTATTGTTGGATTTTAGAGTGCCTTCTGAATGGTTTTATATTATACACAATGTGTTAAGCTCCATGGACAATTTATTTTGCCCATTTAACCAATGATTTCCTTCCTAGATGTGAAGTTGCAGGATTGAAGGGTATGCAAAAAATATTAAGGCTTTTGATAAGCAATAAAAATAGTTTATACCAAGCAATCAGAAAAGAAAAGGCAACCCAGCAGAAAAATAAATGTTTTATTTGTGTGTACAGGGCGAAAAATATGAATAAACAATCCACAGAAGATATACAGATAACCTATGAACATTTGAAAAGATTCTCAACCTCACTAGTAATAGAGGAAATACAAAAAAAAAAAATGAGAAACTATTTTTACATGCAGACGGGCAAAAAAATTTTAAGATTGACTATACCTGGTAACATCAATGGGGAGAAAGATGGACATTTCATACAATGTTGGTGAGAAAGGAAATTGTTACCACATTTTTGTAAAAAATTTGGCAGATTCTACCAAACTAATCTACTGAAATTTAATCTATTGAAATGGACATACACTATAAGCCATGAGTCCTAATAGTAGGAATTTATGCCAATAAATTTTAACACTGTTAACAAAATACTAGAAACTTGTGTCCATTGGTTATAAAAGGAACATCTAAAAGTAAATTATGTAGTTGTATAGGTAGTGACATAAAAAGATATTTTAAAATATCAAGATGCAGATAATTCCTGTAACACTGTTCCATTTTTGTAAAATAAAAAGTATGTGTGTGTGAATAAACATGCATATTTCTATAAACATAGTGTTTGCTGCTAAAGAGGGAAATTGGCTGATAGGGCTCTCCTCTCACAATTTACTTTGTACACTTCTGCACTGGCTGATATTTTACAACAAACATTTACTTTTATAAGTAAACTTGAAAATTAAAAACAAAAAAAGCTCTCCAAGTCAAAGTGATCCTAATTTTGATTTACTTCCATAATGTCAGTTTCAGCAGTAAGTTCCCTGTGGCTTTGAAATGTGTATAAATCTTTTAAAATACGAAAGAGGCCTCTGGCTAGCTTTGTGATGCAGGATGTCTTTTTTAAGGACCTGGGAACCATCTCTTTAAAGTGTAATCATCAAGGAAAGTAGCTCCTCTATCGCCCAGACCCTGCAGAAGGGTAGGAACCTAATTTCAGTGGACTGCTCACTCCTGAACTATCTCCTGTCCTAAAGATATGAGTTTATTTTCTCTTAGAGATAGCCAATTAGCTAAGATGGTAACCCCAATTACCAAGGGAATTTAGGATGTGTGGCAAATGGTGCTGTCAAGTCATCTTACTTAAGGACTAGCTATTTAGTCTTGACAAAATGTATGTAATTTGTTATATCTGTCTTGCAATAAAAAAGGACAAGATTTCTTTTTGTCTTCCCAATCCTTTAGAGGATTGCCTGTGATCCTCTTCACATTTTGGTTTAATGCATATTTCGTAGTAACTTTGTTTTCTTTTTCTTCTGCCTTTGTGGAGAGATTTTTGGGGTGGCAGATTTTGTTTTTAATTGCATTTCCCTAACAGCTGCCGAGCGTCAGGCAGCCATACAACTTTGAAGCCTGCAAGCCCCCAGCTTCTGCCTGCTGCAGCCTGGAGCAGCCCTCTGGGAGGTTAACAGATGCCACAGGCAAATGGGGGAGCATTATCATCGTCTGGTACAGTCTCTGCATCTCTTGGTTCAAACTCTCAAAAAAAGAGTCACCTGTTTACAAAATTTATTTGTCTCCGTCAAATCATATGGGTCATACATAGATCACTAGTCAAGCAATGGGTTGTGCCTGTCCTCAGTCAGATTGTCCATCCATGAGCCAATCAACAAAGGCTGAGGAAACAGGGCCATGTCGTACCTAAGAAAGTGAGCGTGTTGGATATCATAAACATGTTCTATTATAGTAAGCAGTATTATTAGATAACACAGACTACATATATCCACCACAATCATTACAAATGTCCACTGAGGAAAAACAATGGATTATGGGATATGACAGTGGATTGGAAAATAATAAGGTTATTCTTTAAAAGATTCCTAGAGAAGATGAAAGGCAAGAGGGTCCAGACAGAGGGGACCAGGAAGGACTTTGTGACAGTTGATAGAAGAGTTGTGTTCAGGATCCATAAAGAAGAAGGGCCAAACATGTTGGAACTTTAAATAGGACACAGGCTGCAAGGCCCTTCTGTAACTCTTAGAATATTTAATGTAGATGGGACTTAGAGATCAAGTCCAACCCTGACACACTTCACTGTGGGCCAGAGTGGCTGGTGACACAGTGACACAGCTGTGGCTGCAGAGTTCAAGTTAGAACAAAGGTCAGAGGTCAAGTCCCTGTCTCCAAGCTCAGTCTTGTTTCCACTATAGACCTTTCAGGATCCCTTTGCTAGCTCAATCCTTTGCTAAGACCAGTCCCCTCTTTCTGCTCCTGATTTGTACACTGGTTATGTGGTGGTGAAGATGAAGAGGGACTGGCCCCTCCTTAGTGATTTTTGTAAGAGGACAATTTGCTCCTCGCTGTCATCATCCTCTTCTCTAAAACTGCTTGAACCCTGACCCACACGTCCTTGAGGACCCCCAATACTGTGTCATTCCTTAGAGTATATATAAAGGGGTTGAGGAATGGAGTCACAACACTGCTCAGTACTGAAGGGAACTTTTGACCTCCAGATAGTCTTTCTGCGAGAGAATCACATAGATAAACACTGTGATGCCACCAGAAATCACGACTATTGTCAGGTAGGAAGCACAGGTGTTAAAGGCCTTCTTCCTTCCACTTGAGGAAGGGATGGGCACTATTGTCAAGATGAAATACACATAGGAATAGGCCACAAGGACTATGCAGCAAAGGATGACAGCAGAAAAAAATATAAAATCCATCAACTCAATGGCAGTGGTGTCTGCACAGGCCAAGGCCAGCAAAGGCCCACTATCACAGAAAAAGTGGTTAATGATATTGGAACCACAGAAGCGCAGCTGTGAGGTGAGAATGTTTGGAAAGAGCACAGATAGGAAGCCTCTCCCCCAAGAGAACATTTGTCCATTATCTGTGTCATAGCTATGTTCTCTCCATTTGTGATTTGCCTTTAACTTTATTTGAGGGGATCTTTAAATAAAGAGAAACTCTTAATTTTAATGTAGCTAAATTTATCAACATTTTCTTTTTTAAAAAGTACTTTTCTGATCTTTAACAAGTTTTTTTTTTTCTACCCAAAGGTCAAAAACAATATCCTTCTATATTTTCTCCTAAAAATTTTTATTTTTACATTTAATTTGTATGACCATCTAGAATGAATGTTAGTGTCAGATATGAGGTAGGAAATCCAATTTTAAGTTTTCCCTATGTGGACAACCAGCAGTGCCAGCTTCCTTTCACCTCTGACATATATCAGTGTTCCATATTTGTGTGAGTTTATTTCTCAGTTTTATATTTTGTTCCGTTGGTCTTTTGGCTTGAATTTTACTAAAGAAGAAAGAAATATAGCCAATAAATGTGCAAAAAACAATACTTGATCTCAGTAATTAGAGGATGCAAATTAGCACAATAACAAGACACCATTTTACCACCACATATGTAAAAAAGAAAAGAGAAATAGGACAATAGCAAGTACTAAAGAGAATATGAATCCATAGAAATTCTTTTACATTGTTGGTGGAAGTGTGAATTTATATTAAAGAGGAATTTTCTACTCAAATGGCTAACCTTGTAATCAGCTCTTTGTTCTGCTTCTGTAGACATGCTAGCCACATAGGCCGAAGGGCAGGGTGACCTCAAGATCAACTGAAGACTCACCCTCCCCTTTGCTTGTTCTGTCTGGATAACAGATGTATCCCCTTTGCTTGTTCTTTATTGCCTTTGCTTGTTAAGCCCTATAAAAGCAAGGTTACCCCTGAGCTCGGGGCCCAGATCTTCAGAGCACTAGTTCTTCTGGGACTGAGTTCTCCACATCTCTAAATCTCTCAGGGTGACCTCAAGATCAACTGAAGACTCACCCTCCCCTTTGCTTGTTCTGTCTGGATAACAGATGTATCCCCTTTGCTTGTTCTTTATTGCCTTTGCTTGTTAAGCCCTATAAAAGCAAGGTTACCCCTGAGCTCGGGGCCCAGATCTTCAGACCACTAGTTCTTCTGGGACTGAGTTCTCCAAATCTCTAAATCTCCAAGTGGTGCTTGGTTTCTGCAACATTTCTGGAGACCCCAGCGAGATTCCAACCACACCGGCCCTTTGAGCCGCCGGACCGGTGGCTCGGCCAGGCCAGGCCGGGCCAGGCTGGAGGGGCTTCGAGATGAACGAGGAGGCACGCCACCTGATAGTATTCTGGGTTCTCTTTCGGACCGGCGCTCAGCCTCTCCAGACTGCCGAGCCCTGACCGGACTCATAGGAGGGATGGACCAACTCACCGGACTCATAGGAGGAATGGCTACAGGATAAGGTAAGGCCCCAGGACTCAGCACCCCAGTCAGGTCCCATCTTCGGAGGGAAGAGAATTTTTATCATCTCCTAAAGTCTTCAGATAGAAGACACAGGTCAGGGTCTTCCCAATGGGAGAAGACATCAGGGTCTTCCTGGGGTGCGGCAGGGTGGGGAGACAAAGGTCAGGGCCTTCCAAAAGTGGGAAGGCAATGTTTTAACCTCTGGTGTGTGAATGCGTGAGTGAATGAGCAGCCTAGCTGGTTTGATTCTGTCAGGTACAAATCTGTGGCTCCATGGCTGGGCACCCATAAGTTTCCCTAAAGGCTACGGAGTCTGAGTGGGCTTGTCTGCAATTCTGTGGTACACGGCATATGGTCCAGGGAGACTTTGTACTAGTGTCCAATCGTAAGTCACAAAGCTGAGTCTGCTACGGCCAAGCGTCATCTAAGCTCCTTCGGGATGTGGACAGATGAGCACCTGAGTGGTCTCCTCTTTGGAGGAGGCACCCACCCTTGTTTGTCTTTGTGCCACCAACACAGGAGAGGGATACACAGGAAGGGGGGACAATTAATTACTGATTCGGCTTAAGAATTGTCTGTCTAGAAATGGCCCTTTGACATAGGGGCCCTCTGTCAAATTATTTTCTTGAAATTTTAAGGTCTATTTTCCCCCTCCATTAGGAAGCTCCCTAAGGCAATATGGGTAGAGATTCCTCTAAGCCAACTGTCTTAAACTATATATTGAAAAATTTAAGAAAGGTTTCCCAGGGGATTACGAGGAAAAGCTGACCCCAGGAAAACTTCGTACTCTTTGTGAGTTTGAATGGCCTGCCTTCAGGGTAGGATGGCCTTTGGAAGGGACCCTGGAACTCCCCGCTGTTAGAGCTGTGTACTGAGTAGTGACAGGGACCCCTGGAAATCCAGACCAGTTTCCATACATAGACTCATGGTTGCAAATCGCTACTATAATGCCCCCTTGAGGCCAGTTCTGCACAGCCAGGGACAGAGTAAGGTATTTGTGGCCCAACAGACTCAGGGAAAGGACAAGGAAGAGCCAGCAAGAGTCATCTACCTCTCTTCCCACCACCATACATCCCAACAGCTCCGCCAGTCCCTGCACAGCCACTCTACCCCTAATTACCGGACAGCCCTCCACCATCAGTGCCTTCACTGCCTCAACAGCCTGAGTGGCCACCAAGCCCAAGTCCATGGTGTCTTCGCTCAGCCATACAGCCAGCCCAACAGCCTGCGGCCCTCCAGATGCCTCTCCAAGAGACGTGAGGCCCTTTTGAGATTAGCGAAGATGGCACACTCCAGCCAGGCCGCTCTGTCCTCTACCATCAGCCTTTCAGCACAACTGACCGCCTCAATTGGAAGGAACACACCCCGTCCTATTCCATACTTATCAACCTACCTGGGATGACTGTTGCCAACTCCTCCTAACTCTCTTCAACGCTGAAGAATGATACCAAATTCTGGCAGAAGCACGGGGGTGGCGCCAAGGATGAGCACCAAACGGTGCACTAGACCCTGCAGCATGGGTCTTGGGAGCTGTGCCTGATGCCAGGCCCAATTGGGACTTCAGTGTCCCGAACAGAAGGGAGTCTCTTGACAGGTACCGGCAGGCCATACTGCAGGGGGTGAAAGCTGGGGCCAAAAAGCCAACAAACATGTCCAAAACGGCAGCGACTGCCACAGGGCTTCAAGAACTCTCCCACCCTGTTTGGTGAAGTGCTGGCCACAGATCTTGCTGCCTTCCCTGGAGATATTTTGAACTGCACTCTTCCAATATGTAGATGACCTGTTTCTGGCTAGTCCCACCCAGGAAGACTGCTGGAAAAGTACTAGAGCCTGTTGGCCCTACTCTCTACCATGGGATACAAGGTGTCATGGAGGAAGGCTCAAATCTGCAAACAGGAGGTCAAATACCTTGAGTTCATCATCTTAGAAGGACATCAGGCACTTGGACACAAAAGGAAACTGGCCATCTGTTCAATAACGTGACCAAACACTAAGAAAGGGGTCTGAGAATTCCTAGGGGCTGCTGGATTCTGCTGGATCTGGATGCCAGGTTTCCTTGAAATTGTCAAGCCACTGTACGAGGCCACAGCTGGGTCCAGTAACAACACCCTGGAATGGGGCTCCAGACAAGAAAAGGCCTTCGGAGAAATAAAGAGACTTTTGACCAGTGCCCCAGCATTAGGACTACCAAATGTGACGTGGAACTTTAACCTCTTTGTACATGAGAAGAATCACACTGCACTGGGAGTCCTCACACGAACAGTCAGGCCATGGCAGTGCACGATTGCATATCTGTCCAAATGGCTAGTTCCGGGGGCCTCCATGCCTCCGGGCCTTAGCTGCTACGGTAGTCTTGGTCAGAGAAGTAGACAAGCTCACACTAGGACAGAATATAAATGTAAAGGTCTCCCGTGCATTAATGAATAATCAGGGACACAAGTGGCTGACCAACGCCAGGATAACTCATTATCAGGGACTGCTTTGTGAAAATCCACGTGTCCACCTTGAGACTGTGCAGACTTTGAACCCTGCTACTTTTCTGCCCACTGAGGAGAGACCTCCTGACCATGATTGTGAAGAGGTCTCAGATGAAGTTAACTCAAGCAGGGTGGACCTGACTGACATTCTCCTTCAGAACCCAGAACTAGTATTGTTCACTGATGGGAGCAGCTTCATCCATGAAGGACAGCGCAAAGCTGGCTACGCAATAACAACGACAGTTGAGGTAATCAGAGCTGAGGATCTGCCACAGGGTTGGTCAACAAAGCGGGCCAAGCTATGGGCACTCATCTAGGTGCTGTAGCAGGCTAAAGGGAAACAGGTCAATATCTATATGGACTCAAGGTACGTCTTTGCTACTTTGCATGTACATGGAGCTATGTATAAAGAGAGAGGACTACTCACGGCAGGAGGAAAAGAAATCAAGAACAAAGAAGAAATCCTTCAACTGTTAGAGGCAGTCTAGAAGCCTTCTCATGTGGCAGTCATTCACTGCAAGGTTCCACCAGAGAGGAACCACCCCTGCCAGTAGGGAAAACCAACTGACAGACGAAGCTAAGAAGGCCGTCAACCAATCAAGTGCCATAACAGGTCCTGAGCCAGTCTCCAAGGTTCTCCTAGCACCAGAATTGCCTCTATCCCTGAAATACACCAAGGAAAAAGAACAATGGGCCTTAAGTGGAAGGGGAACCAAGAGAAAGGAGGGCTGGTGGGAGCTTCTAGATCAAAGACTCTTTATTCCCACTGCGGTGGTAGCTCAGCTGGTAACACAACACCATGGTTGACTCACCTAGGGAAGACCACTTTAGAAAGCCTGCTATTTCATACCCAAGCTCCCAACCCTGTGCATCCAGATCAGTACTAGATATGTAACTTGAGCATGAAACAATGCCGGCCAAAGGCCAAAATCCAATCTAGGGGTGCAAACAATTGGGACTATGCCCTTTGAAGACCTAAAAGTAGAATTTACTGAAGTCGAGCCCTGCCAGGGCCATAGATATCTGCTTGTGTTAGTTTGCACCTACTCCAGATGGGCTGAAGTTTTTCCTACACGCACTGCATGGGCACGAGAAGTAGCTGGAGCCTTGAGGGAAATTGTTCCA